ACATATTTAGATCCATCTATTTCAAAGGTATTTTACATGATTTTTTACAGGTGAATCTCAAAAGCATATTTCAAACCTATTAATAAGTATCAAATCAATTTCATTCTTTAAGTTTCATGGAAATGGAAATTTTCATCCCTGCATCCTCGTTCCGTGTTCGTGATAATGATAATGGTACCACGGTGGTCACTTAATCGAACGTCTTCGTCCTCATACCGGTTGTACTTATCTACGTCATCAAGATGGCCGCTACAACTGTAACCTGTAACGGTCTCTGCTCCGCCTTTGCACGAATACGAATACGAAGAAGACCAAGCCGACGCCGCCTTGATGTTTCAAAGTTTTCAACTTGTTTTATATTTATTTCAATACTTCATTTCTATCAGCTTCGTTGCAGGAATTTGTTCATTGCTTGATTTATTCATCTGTTTGCCAGAGTAAGTAGGTAATATTACTTTTTTCTCGTACTTTTTTCCATGCCAACCTAACGTTTCCTGCCGGTGACAGAGGATGTAATTCCGCCTGCTGTTTGCGAGCATAATATATCTGGGTGCCTCATGCGACTAAAATATTCCGCTAGACGATGGCCCTGACTGTCTCTTTTGAATCTTGTTCTACAAGAATCAAGCATCAAAATATATTTCTGAAACCAGCCCAACTGACCCATTATTTGCAGTGGGGCTTAATCGTTCATGTTTATCTCGATTCTAGGTTAGGTCCTTCAAATCGTACAAAACTTTTTCATAATTAGGTATTTAAATTATACAGGGTTATCCAAAAGTCACTGACCACCCCTGTAACTTTTTTCCAAATTGAGATAGAAGTTTGAAACTTTGGGAATGTTCTTCGGTCTAAGGTAGCAACTTTTTGGTCCCCCCAAAATTTTGGGGGGCGGCCCCCCTTAAGGGGGGCGGGGGCTAACTTTTTTTTTCAAATGGCAACCCCCTCTTTGTGATACATCATTCGAAAGATAATAAAAAAAGAAAATTTTTGGCGCAAACCGCAGGTCAAAATGTTCATTTTTGACAAAATGGCGGCCGGTCAAAGTTCAAAATGGCGGAAATTTGGCATCTTCGTTGTTTATTGACGGATTGGTGTGAAACTCGGAATCCCAGAGTTTTTCGAGGTGAGAAAAACGATTCTGGCATTGGTTTTCCAGAAAAGTCAGTCCTTTTCAAAATGGCGGCGGTCGAAATGGCGGCCTCGAACGGGAAGTGGATATTTAGGCCGCTTATCGTTGGATTTGCATGGAACTTGGTATCTGGGGAAATTTCGGCACGAGAAGAACGAATCTTTCATTGGATATCTGAAATTTTGACAAATTCCAAAATGGCGATGGAAAAATGGCAGGAAATTAGTTTTACGGCTGTTTACCGATGGATTAGCATGAAATTATTTGATATTTCAAGAATCTAATGAAAGATTTCTTTTTATCCAGCCAAAAACCGCCAGGATATCGAATTTCATGCAAATCCATCGGCGGACAGCCGTAAAACTGATTTCCCGCCATTTTTCCGCCGCCATTTTGGAATTTGTCAAAATTTCAGATATCCAATGAAAGATTCGTTCTTCTCGTGCCGAAATATCCCCAGATACCAAGTTTCATGCAAATCCACCGATATGCAGCCTAAATATCCACTTCCCGCTCGAGGCCGCCATTTTGACCGCCGTCATTTTGAAAAGGACTGACTTTTCTGGAAAACCAATGCCAGAATCGTTTTTCTCACCTCGAAAACCCAAGGATTCCGAGTTTCACACCAATCCGTCAATAAATAACGGAGATGCCAAATTTCCGCCATTTTGAACTTTGACCGGCCGCCATTTTGTCAAAAATGAACATTTTGACCTGCGGTTTGCGCCAAAAATTTTCTTTTTTTATTAACTTTCGAATGATGAATCACAAAGGGGGGGGGTTGCCATTTGAAAAAAAAAAGTTAGCCCCCGCCCCCCTTAAAGGGGGCCGCCCCCCAAAATTTTGGGGGGACCAAAAAGTTGCTACCTTAGACCGAAGAACATTCCCAAAGTTTCAAACTTGCTGTATCTCAATTTGGAAAAAAGTTACAGGGGTAGTCAGTGACTTTTGGATAACCCCGTATGAAGTTATGCATGCATTTACTACCATTCCAAGTAGCATTGTCATCTACTTTCTAGGTGGTGCTCATCAAGAAAATGTCTACTTTCTAGATAGAACAATTTTCTTGAAAGAAAATAGGTATAAAGTAGATCAAGAAAGTAGACACAAGAAAATAGAAAGAAAATACATTTTTTCCTAGCATTTTCTTAAAAGAAAATACTAAGAAATTGGTTGGAAAATAATTCTACTTTCAATAAAGTTTCTTTCTTTTTTCTAAATGGAAAGTTGACAGAAAGTAGACCTGTGAAATAGATCTATTTTCTTTGGTCAGACTTTTGACTCGCAATGTTTTTTCTTCCTATTTTCTGGATAACTCTCATTTTCTTTGATTTTTCTAGAAATTTTCTTAATATTTTTTTTCTTAAAAAAATTATATTTCGCTACTTGGAATGTGCCATTTCTTACTGCAGTTACGAAGTTGAGTGGAGAGTCAACCTACGTCAAATAAGCGTACGCACACCTTTGGTGGGACGGAAGGTAATCTTTCATCAATCTAGCATTGAAAGTAAAGAGCAAAATGGGGATGGTGGATCCGCTGTTGCACTCTAAAGTTGCAAATCTTACTTGGAGCGGACTCTCATCACAAATAGAAACTTTCCAACTATTGCAGGCGAGTGTTCCAGTAAGTCTGTAGGAACATCCTCATACCACCTGCATTTTCCTTGTGTCTTTAAAAGAATGACGCACAGTTGGTACAGTTTGGTTGCATCTACTTCATCTCTCGTACGACATCTGAAAGATGTCTGATTTTAAAATATCTAGAACCACTAGAGCTTCAACAAGAATGAACTGCTCTACGTATCAGATACTCAATGTATCCTGGCAATCAGTGATTGAATAAGGTTATCCGTCAACATTGGATGGTGGGTCCCTGAGTTTTAAATTTTATCGACTGGTAGACTGTGTCTCATTCAGTGGCTCAGACTGGTAAGTAGTGAAGTGGTCAATTTTTTAGTTTTTCTTGGCCCTCCCGCCAGAAGGAAGGATCTAACTCTCACTTTGAATTCGTTCTGTTATCAAATGGTGGATGATTTATTGTAATGTATATTAATGTCTGTCTCTATTGACGGTCATTAATTGTAGGTGGATCAATTGGATGATCTGTATCTCGCTTTGTATTTTTGCAGATTGACACTTTCAGGAACTTGCCATATCGGATGTACATCGCTGCTTAGTGCCATTCGCTCTGTGCCTCTCGACATTCCCTGTCACGTGTGGAAGGAACGTCGGGTAGAGAGTTGATGGCATCAATGATCGGAGTAAATCATGAAATTATTTAAGCTTCATTTTTATCGGTGTCGAGGGATGATGTCGCATCTTTTGAAAAATGCATTTTTCTTCTGTAAAAAAGAAACTGAAAAATGGCGTTTGTCAGTGCTTTTCTGAGAGTGCTGTTCTGCAGCCTGATTTTTGACATTTTGTATCTGTTGGGTAGACATAGATGGCATAGGTTAGAAGGCGGAGCGTGATTGGTCCGCTATGTTTTATCGCTGCTTTGTTGTGCCTATGTTGGGTGGAACTCACGACAAGCTAAAGGCACCTCTTCAGTTTTCAACTGTAAGTCGTCCATTCCACCTAATAAAGGCATGATAAAGCAGCGATAAGACATAGCCGACCAATCTTGCTCCGCCTTCTTACCTATGTCATGTACGTCTACCCGACAAGCACAAAATATTAACAATCAGGCTGCTGTTTTGATCAGCTATTAAATCATGGTGTGGATTTTTCTCTTACGTTAAAGAGTGCTTTAGATTTTTCTACAATGCACCCATATTGTTTCAAGAGTTCCTCGGTACTTATACCTGTTCTAATTGTTCAGATTCATTGTTGCAAAGTGGATTTTCCAGACCCAATGGATTACAGATTCGAGCAAGTTGATGAGTGTTTTTTGTTCATTTTCCAAACTTTAATTGAGCATTTTTGCAAGGCCCAAATATCACGTTCCTCCATGGGAACGCTTCATTTCCATAAGGACACTTGCTTCTCTGGAAATTTGGGCCATGGTTGGTTGCTATACGCTACTGAACCTTGAGTTTTCAACAGTGACTTGGTGATAAGAATGTCATTTGACGGAGGTGAGCCGAATGGCACCAGTATGGGTTCTTCACATTTTAGTCACATGATTGCTCGCTACCAAACTATGGCTAAATGATCAGAAATTCAATTCAGATTACTTTAAGCATTATTCTTTTATTAAATGAGACATTTACATTTTTGTTCGTTGTCTTGACTTAATAAACTACATAAACACAGTTTTTTTTTACATTGATCCAAAGAATAAATAAAGACTCGACGATCGAATTGATCCTTTTGAGTAATCATCATTTTCCATTTCTCTTATGCCTTGATTCTGGAATCTCTTATATTATCGCTGGATGTTGATCTGTACTATTGTTTTTATATTCCTGCTTATTTTTTGGTTTTCTTCATCTCTTTACTAGGATGTATTCTAAGCCTTTGGTATTGTATTCATTTGTTCTTTGTATTCATATGTGAAAAATAAACAATTTTTATAAGTACTACTTACGGTATCTTTCGTACAGGTCACCTAGAAACCTACTTTTTACACATTTAAAATGGTACCCCATCATTTGGGGCATCTTCCCCATTTTATACGGTATTTAATATTACCCTATTTTATACCTTTTTTATGTATTATTTTGTACTTTAAAAAAAGGACACTTAATAGGGTATTTTAAAATGGTATTTTATACCTATTATCAGCTATTTAATATCCTATTTGATAGGTTTTTGATTAGGTATTTTTTACGTATCTTGAAAGGTATTATAAACCATATTTTTGCTACTAGGGTAGCGGTCAAAGTGTCAGTGATGTATGATGTATCATTTTTTTCTAATATTTCAGAGAATTTCCAGTTATTGAATCGAGGACATATGCCTCCTGAGCTAATGATAACTACGGCGCAAGTTTATGACATGCAAATTGTGACGGAAGGAAATACATCCTTTACAAAGGAAACTAAGGATACGAAAGGTTTGCGTTATTATTCATTTAATTTCTAATGAATGTGGGTAGTAACTTTTGAACGGATTCAAGTCAAGCGCTATGCTGCTCGTTAGTTGCGAAATTCAGGAGCTACGTGACTCAATTTTGGCGAAATTTAACTTCTTCTTACCCTTTTCTAACATTTTAACATATTTTTAAACCCCCATCTCTGCCCCTTTGTCGAGCTAACATTTACTCATGTGACAATGAGCAAGTTAAATAAAATTAAAACAACAATCCTCGGCCAGCTTGCGATTGGAAAAAAGTAAGCATGTTCTAACCACCGATTACGTTTCAATCCTTCGCAGATTATCGCCCAAAAAATCAAATCTTAAGTGACCTGCATGATGCGGGGAATGCAAAAATTTTGTTTTCTTGCCCCCCACCATGATGTTTGCTTCATTGCCCTGAACATAGCAAAATACAGTGTTTCATGGGACAGTACAGGGTGTTCGAAAAGTCCCCTCCCCCTTCCCCTAACTTTTGACCTAATTGAGGTAGAGATTTGAAACTTGGAGGGTGTTCTTAGATCAAAGGGAGCTACTTTTTGACCCCCTCAAAATTTTTGGGGGGGGGGTTACGGACCCTAACTTTTTTTTTCAAATGGGAAGACCCCCTTTGTAATACCTCGTTCAAAAGAACATAAAAAAAGAAAAATTTTCGCGCAAATCCGAAGTCATTATCTCAAACCCTTTCAAAATGGCGGCCGGTCAAAGTTCAAAATGGCCAAAAATTGGCACCTCTGCTACTTGCGCATGGATTTGCTTGAAACTTGGTATCTGGGGGTATTTTGGCACGAGAAAAACGAATTTGACGTTAGATTTTTAAAAAAAACCCTAATTTTTCAAAATGGCCGCCGGTTTAGGCTCGAAATTTCGACAAACTCGATTTTTTGCCGATGGATTCACCTGAAATTCGGTATCAGGGGGTATTTTGACCCGAGAAGAACGGATTCGACGTTAGAATTTAAACAAACCCTCATTCTTCAAAATGGCCGCCGATTAAAGTTCAAAATTGTCAACAATTGGTAACCTCGACTTTTTGCCGATGGATTCCTGTTAAATTTTAAGCTTCAGCTTCAGGATTCTCAGCTTATCGTTTTTCTCCCACCCAGATACCTCCAAACATCGAGTTTCAGGCGAATCCATCGGCAAAAAGTCGAGGTTACCAATTGTTGACAATTTTGAACTTTAATCGGCGGCCATTTTGAAGAATGAGGGTTTGTTTAAATTCTAACGTCGAATCCGTTCTTCTCGGGTCAAAATACCCCCTGATACCGAATTTCAGTTGAATCCATCGGCAAAAAATCGAGTTTGTCGAAATTTCGAGCCTAAACCGGCGGCCATTTTGAAAAATTAGGGTTTTTTTAAAAATCTAACGTCAAATTCGTTTTTCTCGTGCCAAAATACCCCCAGATACCAAGTTTCAAGCAAATCCATGCGCAAGTAGCAGAGGTGCCAATTTTTGGCCATTTTGAACTTTGACCGGCCGCCATTTTGAAAGGGTTTGAGATAATGACTTCGGATTTGCGCGAAAATTTTTCTTTTTTTATGTTCTTTTGAACGAGGTATCACAAAGGGGGTCTTCCCGTTTGAAAAAAAAAGTTAGGGTCCGTAACCCCCCCCCCCAAAAAAATTTTGAGGGGGTCAAAAAGTAGCTCCCTTTGATCTAAGAACACCCGCCAATTTTCAAATCTCTACCTCAATTAGGTCAAAAGTTAGAGGGGGTAGGGGACTTTTCGAACACCCTGTATAATCCTCCGACCGTGCCGACGATAAAGGAAATGACTGCACATTGCAGTAGTCACAGGTTTCTGTTTTATTTTGATGGAATACATATTTATTTCTCCAAATTTTATACAACACACTTTCTTGAGAAGGATATAAATATTTACCTAACGACAACTATCTCTGTTTTTATCTTTCTTTTTCAACAGATTTTTATTCAGAAGTTTGTCAAACAGATTCCGATTACAGTTGGAGTCCAGAGAGATCAAAATCTCAAGTTACTAGCAAAATAACGATTCTCAGGTAATATTTAATTAGTCAGTCCCTCCATTTCCTGCTTTTAATAGCTAAATTTCTTACAAGTCATATCATAAAAATGTATTTTAGTTATAGAGACCCGAGTTTACACTGCTGTCTCCTATAAATAGATGATTCCTGAAAGTGTATAAGATCACGTATCTCAGTTTGCGCCGTTGCAGACTTCCTATCATACCCACCTCATTTTCTCCTTAGAAAACCAGCCAACGTAGTTTCTTGAAAAGTTCAGTGACTATTTTCCTCTGTTAACAGAATATTCTGTCATACAAGTTGAATTGTTTCCCTTCGAAAAAAGTTTGAAGCGGGAATTTTGAAAAACTGTAATGGTGGTTTGGCACTTTAGCCGTTATCTTTTTTTATTTAAATGAATAATAATTTTATGATATATGCAGCGGCTTTCCCGAATTCAAAAAAAGGAAACAAAATTGATGAAAATTGCACCTCTTTATACACGGAAAAAATCGTCAGGAGTTTTCCCCTAAAATGTATGTACTACCCTATTTTGATGGATGATATGGGCATTACAATTGACGTTCGTAGTACCGCAACTCAAGTGTAGGTAGTATCCCAACATTTGGATTCGTAACCTAATTTATTAGGGTATTACCACAATTACATTACAAAGCGTTACGTACATAACGTACATTAACAAAACGGTATATTGGTAGAGGAAAAATGCCGGTTTGAGCACACCCATCAGTGTTCTCAATGTTCACTTTAAATACCTCATTTATTTCAGTTTATTTTATGCTGGGATGTACCCCAGGAACGCTCCGGTAGGCGAGGGTAAGTCAGTTAAATATTTCCAATTTGTGTTTTCGCTCTAAACTATTTTTACTGATGTGTCGTTTCACAATGATGTGTTACTTATGGGAGGGGGAACCGGCGACGCTGCTGGAGGCAGCGTCGCCCCTCGTCCCCTAGGATACTGGAGCAGCAGGAGGGTAGGAAGGGGGGGATGTCTTTTTACGCTGCGCTACAATTGTTCCTTGAATTTCATCTGTATTTTATTTGCGATATGTGTTTTGCAATTCGTCGGTTCATCTGCCATTTCAACCTATGGAAAAGGATCGATAATTAGGGTTTTCGCAACAAACAACTTAATGATCGATTCTCTACTGTGGCTTCAAATGGGGAAATATCGATAAATCGATCATTCGCGAGCCATGAAGATTCTTTCCCGTGTATCAAAGCATCTTTTGGAAGATGCATACTCACCTCCGTTGAGATTTCATACCTTTCTGGCTGATTCGAGCGCTTTACCTCTCCGTTCAAGTCCATATTTGAACCGTTCCTTTCTTCACGGCTGAAATCTGCCAAATGAAACTCACAACGCCTTCCGCGTCGCTGTCCCAAACTTGAGCCCCCTGAACTTCCACCTACAACGGGCCTTTCTTTTACGTCAGAATGTTTGGACCATGAGTCATCCAGCGGCCGCGCACGGGAGTGCCCGGAGGCTGCTATCGGGTACCCCAAGGTAGGGACCCCGTCCGGACACCTGGGCCATCATTCATCGGAGGCCGCTCTGAGGCGGGTACGCGGCCTGCTACCACGGTTCCCGTGTGTGCGGTGTTGCCTGACTGTTACGAACTACCCCCCATGACCAGTAGAGTGAAAATGAGGACTTGAGGCCAAAAATTATTCGACAAATAGTGCAGAAAAATACGAATTAAATTGCAGTGTTGAATGGTGATTATTGTACAATATGGCAACGCTGTAAAAAGAAAGTATTGCATGTTGCCCCTTCAATATGCGGGTTATGCAATGGTGTAATATAGCCCCTTCAATCTGCGGGTTATGCAATGGTGTTTACATCAAGATGGCGGTTATGCAACTGCGTTGCCGGACGGTACACATAAATAAATGATTTATTTATCGGTGAAATTTGGCAACATCGAATTTTAAAGTGATGCAAGATGGTGCAAGAAATTAGTCAATTTTTCGGTACAAAGTTGTCAGATTGTGCAACAATTTGGATTTTCGAACTTTTAAAAATACTCGGCTTCGATAAACCATATCTTACAGTATGGGTCTGGTATCGGAGACTGGAGAGTAGGGTCTGATTCGGGAATTTCCATTTTTAGTAGTGTGCGCTTTGAGATGCGTATCGGAACATTATATTTTGGGATGAGCAACTGGGATTGGATATTGCTATGTTCAGTTTGATGAATCAACAATTTTTATTGTTCTACAATTTGGTACAATAAAAAGAAAAATCATATAAAGAAAAGAGAGCAACACAAGTTAAAATAATCCATGCTGATACATCCCAGTATCGCCCCTTGGACATACATCGGGCCCAGAAACAGCGTTCTGAATGATTTTGGCGCGCTCTAAGTTGTTCAAGAATTCACCTTTGCTTGTCAGAATGACTATAATAGAGCATGTCAAGAGAGACCAGGATTCCTCATTCTTGAGGAATAAGTTTTGGAAGTTTTTGACGGTCATAGAGAATCCCAGACTTCTGGAGAGTGGAAGGATTAGGTGTTTTTCCGGGTGCCGCTCTCCTCTCTCTGATGTACAATGCTTTCCTAATCGCACTCTCGAGTCTGCATATCTTCCAGTCCCGTTCGTCCATTTTCTTGTACCCCTGCTTTAGGAAGTGCATTATTTCGTGCTCGTCTGCGACACGTTCTAGGAGATGGCAAAAACTTTTCGTTATCTCAAGTAATCCATAACACTCGACGGGATCGGAAATACCTGTTGAGCTGAGTTTAAGATGGTGAAAGAACTTGTCAGGAAAAAGGAGTCGGGCAATCTTGTTCAAAAGCTCTGCTCGTATTCCTGGAGTCTTGAAAGAGAGAGCCTCATAAACCGTGTCCAAGGTGTTGATCGCTCGGATTGATTGCGGTTTGATAGTTGGAGCGTCCATACTTGATGAGTTCTTGTTTAGAAATGGGTGATCGATCACACTTCCTTGACACTATTTATACGTTCCACGACTCGCATTGATAATTTTTCCCTTTTTGCATGAAAGCGTAATTTTATGTTACTACTATAAATTAAGACTACACAGTTTGTCCGAGCGTAACCGAGTCTGGTGATTAGCAACTACTACTATATTTACTCTGAGGTAAATTATAACTCTAAATATAAGTGTAATTTATGTTACGACTTATGACTACACAGTTTGCCCGAGTGAAACCGAGTTTGGTGATTAACAAATGCCGTATTTACTTTGAGATAAATTATGAGTCTACAGTTTCTTTCCGCTCGGTATGGAAACTATATATATTTACCTCCGAGTGAAAAGCTCGTCAGTCTCAGTTTTGATGATATTAGGAACCCTCGAGTTTATAATAGTATTCACATGTTCACTCTGAAATCTTTTCAACGAACAGAATCTTATAAACAAGAAAATAGTGTTGATTTTCTATTCTAACGAAATCAGAAAACCTCCAGCTTATAATAGTATTAAACTTTGAGCTCATAATAGTATTCAGTTGTTCACTCTGAAATCGTTTCAGTGAACACGATATTACAATCGTGAATATAATGTAGATTTTCTGTTGTGACAAAATCAGAAAACCTTGAGCTTATAATAGTATTCAGTTGTTCGCTCTGAAAAATTTTCAGTGAACAGAATCTTATAACGTCAAGATAGTGTAAATTCCTTTTGTTATCGGCTCGGAAAACTTAGAACTGAAAGGAGTATCTTTTTAATGGCTGCCCAAGAACAAGTACAACAGATTGTTGAAACTTTTACCCAATGTGATATCTGTGATGAATTATATAAACAAGGTGAAAAGTACGGAGACTGTGCGGAACAAATTAAGAAGGAGGAGGGTATCAACGATGAAACGCATATTAAAAAGGAGCATAACGCGCTCATCCATTGTGATCTTTGTGATGAGTTTTATGCGGAGGGAGAAAATCATGAGCAATCTCCCGAACATATTGAAAAGATGTCCACCATGAAGGACACCTCATCACCTACCGATGACAACAACGATGAGAATCAAGAATATTGTGACACGTGCAAGATCTCATACCATAAAAGAGAAAAACATGAAGAATCTGCAAGTCACATAAGAAATTTGTTTGAGACTAAAGTACCGATTGTTCTAGTTGAGACTGCGTGTCAAAGTAGGTTGAAAACATTTTTCATCACGAACCTCCAACCGAAGATTCTCATCATCAATGACTACCTACTAACAGTTAAAGACCTCGTGATTGGGAAAATTAAAGAAGAACTCACTGGCGAGGCATTGAAGGTTAATATACTAGTTTACGCTGAATACGAGAAAGCTGACGATAAGGACAAGGAAGGAATGCAGTTGAAAAAGTATAAGACTAAAGACGACTAAAAGTTTCGCGTCAACGGATCTGGACGAGTATTCCGAAAATTTCAGGGCCAAGATCAATAAAGAGTCATTCGATTTTCACATGAACGGATCCGGGTGGGTGATGAAGAAGATACAGGGTATGGAGCTACGTGTCAACCGCTATTACGCTTTCCATCGAGGAGGAACGTACGTTAAGCTTCCATTTCGAAAGAACAATGTTGTCAATGTAAATAACGGTGAATCAAACGATTGTTTCCGGTACGCAATGTTGGGAAAGTTTCTCCCAAGGGATGCGCACTGCGCAGCATAAATTTCGTATGGAAAAATATGTAGATCTGTTCAATCGTTACAATTCCTCGGACGTTCGATTCCCCACGAGCATAGATTACGTTGTCAAATTCGAGAAAAGGAACAATGTATTGGTTTCGGTATTTGGGCTCCGCGAGAGTTTGTTGTCCAACAAGAAAAAGTATACAGTTTACCCGATTAAAGTTGCCGACCCGGAAAGAGAGGACCACACCGATCTACTATGTGTCTCAACCCCCGTACCTTTAAGTTACCATTATTGCTGGATCAGTAACTTTAAAGAACTTGTATGTAAACAATTGACAAAATATCAACATCGTATCTACACGGAGAGAAAGAATATAAAATTGGGTACAAATAGCAGACAGATACTGAAAGCCATCGCACAGGTCG